GGTCATGGTAAGGGCTATGAAGAAAAATAAAGCAAGAGGCAGAGGGGCTGTATTGTACTCTGAAGAGCTGGCATCTGAGCAGAGATCTAAACGAAGAGAACGAGATGTGCAAATGCCTTGGGGATACACGCCCCAGCAGTAATGTGCTTGTATTCACAGAAGTGCAATACTGCTTCTTCCAGAAAGCAGGGATCTAGAGGATGTGATGAACTTTCCAGCTGTAAAATACCTGATTCTTTCAAGGTATATCCATTTGCTTACCCACTCACTCATTTTCTCAACCAATGTTTTTATTAAGTATGCGCCACTTGGGTTCTAGGGATGAAGGAGTGGCCTTCAAAAAGGAGACAGAGATGTATATGCAGCCCAGCAAGATGGTGTGATAAAAAACTGTCATGGCGCTATGGACAGGTTGATGTAAGAGAACAGTTTAGGCACATCACTCTTTATATTTTTAGGGATCTATTTGACTGGAAGAAAGATAGTATAAAAGCATTAAAGTCCATAATGATGGTTTTAAGAAATTTTAAAACCATTGAACCATTTCTTTAAATGAAACCTTGATAGAAAATTCAATATATAATATTAAAAGGAGTTGCTCTGGTTGGCACAAAATTGGAGGCCTCAGGGCACCTTCAAAAACATGTAACACAGTGTGAAAATCACTGCTCTAAATATTTGTGATGGCCAAGAACAGCAATCTGCCCATTGTCCACTAAAACCTGCTTATCTTTGAGTGGCCAAGTAAGGCTGATGTGGAGAGCCAGTCAGGCATCCATCAAACCATTAGAACCATTACCTCTGGCTTGTGTGAAAGGGAATAAATAAACCTCTGCCCAAATGAGGACTGATTCAGCTACTTTTTTTTTTCCTGCTCTTCAAAGTCATCAAATCCCATTTATTAAAAATTGGGACAAGATTTACTGCTACCTTCTGAGTCCAAATGACTCCTAAGCATAATTTAAAGGGTTCATCATTTTGTTTTTTCCTTCTTCTGGGCAAAGGTTACATTTGCATTAAGAATCATCTCTTTCAAAGTGTGCTGGGCATCACCTGGTTTTGGATGGCCCTAAATTGTTTTCTAGAATGTTCTGCCTTTCTTTCCACTGTAGAGTAGTGCACACACACATGGACACTCGTTCTGCACTCACGGTTCTCTTGCCACATGCTCTTATGCAGGCACACCTCGGGCACAGGCAGACCTCGCTCTCCAACTTGGGAACCAGCATGCTGGCCGTGCTAACCTGCCACTTCCCTTTCTTCTCCCTGCAGATGACGGCAACTGCCCAGCCACCCTCCAAGGCCCAGGCTGTCCACATCTCTGCACCCACGGCTGCTGCCAGCACACCTGTGCCCAGTGCCCCTATTGACCCCCAGGCCCAGCTGGAGGCTGACAAACGAGCTGTGTACAGGTAGGAGACACTTGGGCCATGTTCAGAAGCTCCCAACTAGCCCCAGTCCCAATTCAGCCTAAGAGATGAGAGTGCAGGCCAGAGGGTGCACTCATCAGGGATGACGGCCAGCAACTGCTTTCCTTAGCTGCCTCCCTGTGCGAGTCAATCCAGAAACCCCTCAGCAGCTTGCTGTGGGTTGACCTTAACTTCCTGGAAATGTCTAGTGAGGAATACAAAACCTGGGCAGTATCTCCCAGAAGGACCCCTTACCAACTTAACTAGGGAGATGAGCCAACAGGCAGCTGCCTCAGGACTCTCCTTGCCCTGTCCCCAACAAGCCCACCAGAGTACTGGACATCGGATT